AAACGGTAACTGTAACGGAATACAGTTACTCATATTTTGTATTTTAAATACGTAACGGCGGTACATGTATTCCGTTACTCCCCAACACTGTGTACAGCACACATCATTAATGACATTTCAGATTTTTTCAAATCCCCACAGGGTTAAAAGTATACCTACAAGCCTAAATATATACTTACACTCATTTTTTGTTAAATTTCCTGAGCAATTTGCACCTCAGCTAGATGCTTTTGGTAGCCATCACCAAACTTCAATACTTTTCTTCACAGAACTAGTACAGTTCATTTAAATTGGTTGATTTTCTGGCACAGACCCAGATCATTGTCCTGTTGAAAAAAACAACTTTGTCCAAGTTTTTACCATGTATCTGTTAAGATGAAGTTGAAAAATTTGGAGATAGTCCGTACATTGTGCAGGGAAACAGCTTCATAGCATTATGCCTCCATTGCCTTGCTTGACAGCTGGTACAGTGTTCTTAGCTTTGAGAGTTTCTGCTTTACTCCTCTAAATGTATCTCTTGTTATTGTGGCCAAATAGCTCAGTCTTGCTCTTGTCTGACCGTGTCATTTTTTCATGGATGGCATTCGACTTGTCCATGTGGGCAGCTGCAAATTTCAGTCGAACCTGAATGTGTCGATTTTGTAGCAGGGTCTTCGTTCTTTCTCTGCACCTTCTCAGTCCATGGTGATATAAAATATGTAATTTGATCTTAAAGATTCATGTTATTTAAGTGTCACTAACCATTTTCTCCCTGTTCTTTCAGGCTGTGCTGATCAGCATAATCTTGAATTATATTGAAAACCCAGAGGAGTCAGTGTCCAACACAGTGTCCTATGGTGTTGGTTTGTCCATTGGTCTGTTCACCACAGAATGTTGCAAAGCTCTCCTAATATCCTTGCTGTGGGCAATAAACCTGCGCACAGCAGTGAGACTGAAAGGGGCTTTCTCTACAGTGGCTTTTCAGAAAATCATATCGCTGCGGGTATACAGCGGTGTTTCAATGGGAGAGGTAAAGACTAGTTCTCACTTCTATGGTAAATGCAATATAGCCACATTTGTCTGGGAAAGTTTTAATGCTCTTGTAATTGATTCTAAAGTAATTTTATCCACTTGTACAATATTCTTACAGCTGATAGCCTACAGAGGCCGGTGTAACAAAAATATGCTAATGTCTTTTTTAGCAAAGATTTCATTTTTGCTTTAAAAAACTTTGACATTGCTTTCACCCACGCTGTAGTGGAACAAACTTGAATGTGTGGTGCTGTTTGTGTCCATGGTAGACATTAGTGGACCAGATGTAATGTCTGTTATAGACATCTGTGAACATGAAAAGCAACCCTTTTTTGTCTTTGTTGTGTGGGATTATAATATTACCTTATGCCATGTTAGACCCCTAATTAAAGATTGTGAATTATTATGTAGTTTTAGTTTGCATTATTCTCCTGAATTAGAAGAAGGTGATAACTATTACATTTGTTAAACTGATTTGCATTACATTAGACTGCTGCTGATTTATTGTGAATGAATGATATTGTTTTATGATGCATTATACTGCTGAGTTATAAGAAATACTGTTCGCAGAAAGTCATCGCCTTATTTGTCTGATTAGAAGAGAACAGAGCATACCGCCTCATCTCAGCAGGAGCAGATAAACAGGGAGCCAAGGTCGTAGCTTAGGCGCTGTGTGAGAGAAAGAATGTGAATGTTTAGGCTTTTATGAGGCTATAAGGCTATAAGAGTTTGATCAATGCTACACCATTTTGAGATCTGATGCTGTCTGCGTACGGTGTCCATCTCCCACGCGTGTATTCATTAAATCATTTCCTCTTGTATCCATCTTCAGTACTTTGAATCCGTAACAGTTGTTATATTCTATCTTGAGTGAGCATGATTTATATTTTGATGTGTATACATATGTTTTACATGTTTTTAATATCTCATGTATTCTTCTTTCTATCCCTCCATAATGTATTATAAATTATCTTGTGGGTCAATAGTGCTACAAATAGTTTGAACTTGTTTTGACATAAAAGAAATTTGTTTTGATGCAATTCCTAATTAACTTTTCTTCATATCTTTCTGCTGCCTAGATGATTAACGTTTTGACCAATGATGGCCAGAGAATGTTCGAGGCTGTACTGTTTGGGAGCTTTGTGCTGTCTAGCCCAGTGCTCTATGTTTTGTGTATTGTCTACGCGTGCTACATCCTGGGCTACACCGCACTGACTGGAGTCTTCACATATCTGATTTTAATCCCTGTACAGGTCTGTGTATATTTCACATAAATCTGACATATTTTTACATTAGAAGCTGTGAAAAGAAAGTTGGTTCTTATTTTAACTGAAAATAGTGGAAAGTTAGCAAATCCAAATTTTGGAAATTGTATGCTTATATGCTATATTTTCGAATTTGATGTTAGCAACAGAAATTATTTTAACCTTAATGTTGTAAAGGATTTGTATATTCCTGGGAGCTGTTTTGTTCAGGACAATATGTTCTTGTAGAATTTCCCACTACAATTCTGACCCAGGAAAAGGGAAAAACAAGGGCTCAATTAAAAGTCCTAATGTACTGCCTAGGGAAAAACTTTGCACCTTGTGCATAGTGATAGTGTAGAGAGGCAAAATTACATAAATTACATCATTGTTCAAAAATGTTTGGCCTATTTTGTAGCTAGGGTCCTGGAAGAGGTTCCCTATGGAGACTCCATAGTTCTTTAGGAAGCTTGATCAGGGGGAGGTGTTTGCAAGAATGCAAATAGTTTGTTTTTATGCCAGCAACTCTTTTTTGCTAGCATAAAATTTTTAATCTCTAAAACCTAATACTGACCAATAATGAAATATATGTATGTGTTTACTATGAGCTAATGAAAAATAATGGCAAACACTAATATTGCAAAAACCAGACAAACAAAAATAATCAAAAAAACAAAACAAATGAAGTTTGTAACAATAATATAATAATAACAATAAAAATAAGAACAATAACAACAAAATATTATATCACAAAAAATTGAGGCATATAGAACGGTATGTTTTACCTTTCTATAAACTCATTTCCTTGTTTAGTAAGCTGCTAAGATAGCAAAACTGTGATTTTTCTGTGTTTTTCTTATATTATCCCAAATATATTACTTTGCTTCTTATTAACTTTAGTCACTCACAATGTATTTTTCTTGATTTTTGTAGATTTTCATGGCCAAGCTCATAAATAAATTCAGATGGAAGTCCTTATTGTTAACCGACAGCAGAGTTCGCACAATGAATGAGATTCTCAACAGTATAAAGCTAATCAAGATGTACGCGTGGGAAGATTCTTTTGAGAAGACGATTACAGGTATGTCAAGCTGTTTCATGTTGATATTTTTTTTAACCAGTATGTCAAATATCAAGGAAATATTCATACACACCAATTTGTTTAAAAACAAAATCAGCAAACATATAGTCACAATGGGCATCCTTATGTACAGTTGTGATCAGAAGTCCAGATGCTTTTGGTCACCATCATCAAGCCTAGCCCCAAGAGGGTTGAGGTTAGGGCTTTAAGCTTCTGGACTGGTCTTCTGAATGTTAGTCTAATTTATCGATTGCAAAACCAATTTTGTGCCAGTGGAAGAATTTGGAGGTACCACTGGCCACAAAAGAACCCCAGGCAATGATGCTTTACAGCTCGTACTATTATCTTAGGTTTGAAAGCCTCATCTTTACTTCTCTAAGCGTATCTCTTATCACCGTGGACAAATAACTCAGTCTTTGTCTTGTCTGACCATAAAACCTTTTTTCCAGAGGGCATTTGGCTTGTCCATGTGCAAATTTCAGTCAAGTCTGAAGGTGTCGATTTTGAAGCAGGGGCTTCTTTCTTGGTTGGCAGCCTCTCAGTGTGAAAACTGATGTCGATGTTCTTATACTTAGAATTGTTTGAAATGATGATCTTGGAATCTGCGTCTTGTGTAAATCAATACTTCTCTTTCTGAGATCTTCACTGAGTTCTTTCTCTTCCCCATTGTTCTGAGTATTGGTCCGTCCAATGATTGTTGTTAATGAAATCCTTTTTATGCTGGCAAAAAGAACCTAAAAGTTGCCATTAATCATTATCACTAATGAGATAATAATAGGTTTTGGTCCAGTCAAGTGAAAACCATGGGAGACCCTACCAGGGGGCAAAAGCCCCCAGCCAACATAGCCCCTGGGATCCCTGGGACACACAAACCCCTCCACCACGATAAGGTTGCGATTCACGGAGGAGAAAAAAGGTAAGTCACTAAAGATAAAATTAACTAATAAAAAACTTTTAATTCTTACAGGCTTAAGGAAAAATGAAAAGAAACAACTACAGAAGGTCAGTTATGTCCAGAATATTAATATAAGCATCGCCAACATCATACCCACCATTGCCACTGTCCTCACCTTTCTGGTTCACACTTTGTTGGGATTACCTCTCAGCACTTCTGATGTGAGTACTACAGCAGTATACTAAAACTGTACATGTCAACTTAAAGTAACAAATCTGAGATTCTGCAGTTCTGAAACTCAGACTGTTTGGATATGAGTCATAAGATAATGAAATAAAGGTTTATTGCATTCCTTTAATTGTGCTAAACCAGATTGCTGTGGCCCATTTAATATCAACACGATTTGCTTGCATTCCACAATCATATATAGTGTTTTAACATAATTCTTTGTTTTTACTAGGCTTTTACCACAATTGGCATCTTCACCTGCATGAGGTTCTCCCTCGTTATCCTGCCCCCGTCTGTGAAGGCTGCAGCTGAGGCTGTTGTAGCACTAAGACGATTAAGGGTAAATTATTTGTTTTGTGCCCTCTGTAACTGTTAACAATTCATGTAGTGACTCTATTGTGCTTTTTGTGTCTTTTGTCATATATATCCTTACACTGATGCATGCTCATATGAACACACTTTCAAATAATGAAGTCAGCATATGTACAAGCGAGCCAAAACGTCACAATTCAGACGTTTCTAAAATCACAGTTTTATTTTTATTTTTTTGTACTGCTGGCTGCCAGTGGCAGATCCTTTGCATGATAAGGTCATCTCAGGTACACATCTTTAAATATAAGATATATTGTCAACCTGCATCACAAATCTGGTTTTAACGCTGCTTTGATTCCTGTCTTACTTTTACCCTTGCTTTTGTCACACCTTGTATCTGACTTTCATTCAGAAATATCAGCAGAAAAACACAGATAAGCTTGTAAATGCTGTTTGTTGTTATTTCAGAATATTTTGCTGATCCAGAATCCTGAGCCCTACCTGATGAAAAAGGTAGATAATGACTCGGCTATAGTGATGAAAAATGCTACATTTTCCTGGACCAGACCTGAAAGCCAGTCTTCCCCCCCACCCAGCACAGCCAACGTAGTGTCAGAACACAAGACAGCTGAGACTGAATCCTCATCAGCATTGAAAAACATCTCCTTCACACTGCCTAAGGTGTGATTCAATTCTGATAATGATATCTCAGATTATCTGCATTCTATTAAAAGTAAACTAATTGTCTCTGGTATTTCCCGAAGGGCAACCTGCTCGGTGTCTGTGGGAATGTGGGAAGTGGAAAGACATCACTGATTTCCAGCATTTTGGAACAGGTTGCTTTCTCTTTTGTGTTTTTGACCTTTTCTATTATTTTGTATCGTTTCTTTATAGTTTTCTTTTATTTATTTTTTGTTCACTCTTTCGTTATTTGCATGTGTTGAGAAGATAGAACGAGGACTTTGAGGATTCAATGAATGTAGACAGTGAGCGAAACAGGAGGACTGTTGGAGGAAAGTTTGTGAATCAGGAAGTGCAGGGGATTAATAAGAAGGTGAGGGCAGCTATGAAGAGGATGAAGACTGGAAAGGCATTTATGACCAGGGCAAGGGTGATGTGCAAAAGTGTAATAACTTTTTTCTTCTTTTTGTTTTGTTAGCTTGAAGACACGTTATTAGGCAAAACTTGTGCTAATGCTACTAGGATTCAGCTAATGTCTGTTATAGAATTGTAGTCGATTAAATAAAATAAGTCCTACTACTGGAGTTCATTTGCGAGGTTTATTCTCGCATGAAGGAATTCAGTCAGTACAAGGCATGCAGGATTGAAGTGAGGAATTCTCTGGAACAGGGGAAGCAGACCCTACCTGTATAGGTTGTTGTTACCCTGTTGCAAGACAGAAAACTAGTCAGCCTACACAGGTCAAACATAGTTCAACAGGATATATGTAGCAGATAAGCTAAACAAGTCTTATCAATCCAGAGACTAGAAGCAGGGCACTGTCTGAGTTGGGGAAATTCTGCATGCTTGCACTTCCACTTCATGCAGGGGTCAAGCTGTATCTTAGTATATAACAAAACAATCTTCTACATATCTTATCCTTCCCACTGTCGCCAAAGTGCTTGCTCATAGGGGGTCATATGATTGTTGGGTTTTTCTCTGTATCTATGAAGCGCCTTGAGGCGACTTTTGTTGTGATTTGGTGCTATATAAATAAAATTGAATTGAATTGAATTGAATAACACTTGTGTAGAAGGAAGCTGTTACAGTTTGTTTGCAAACATAGTAGTAATCTTCCACTTTATCTTCAGAATTGTGTAGATGACAGAGAGTGATAAAGTTTTTGAGTCATACCATGAAGCTACAGGAAAAAATTGTTGAAGGTAGGTTAGTAAGAAAGGTGACGATCAGTGAGCAGAACGATGGCTTCATGCCAAGAAAGAGCATTATAGATTTGATGTTTGCTTTGAGATTGTTGACCGAGAAGTAGAGAGAAGGTAAGAAGAAGTTGCAGTGTGTCTTTGTGTGAATCTAGAAAAAGTTTATGGTAGGGTGTCAAAAGACAAACTGTGGTGCTGCTGCACTTCTCTCAGTAGCAGAGAAGTATGTTAGGGTGGTGCAAGACGTGTACGAGGACAACGAGACAGTTGTGAGGTGTGTGGTAGGAGTGAAAATGGGATTATATCAATGAGTGGCTCTGAGCCTCTTCTTCTTTGCAGTGGAGATGGATATGCTGATAGAAAAGGTCAGGCAGAAGTCTCTGTGAACTAGGATGTATGCAGATGATACTGTGATCTTTATTAAGAGTGTGGAGCAGGTGGAAAAGAGCCTGGAGAGGTGGAAGTACACACTGGAGAGAAAAGGGATGAAAGTCAATACATATATATGAATAGGGCATACGATCAGCCGTGGCAAGGTCTAACAAGAGACGAATGAGGAGAAAGAAGAAGTTTTTACTATTTCTAACCGTACATAAAATGTTCAGTAAATATAGCTTTTCTGTCTCCTTGATTTTATCTTTTAGATGTACCTTCTTCAGGGCTCCGTCACAGCCGATGGGACATTTGCTTACGTCTCCCAGCAGGCCTGGATTTTCCACGGAACTGTTCAAGAAAATATCCTCATGGGGGAACCTTTTGACCAAACCAAGTAATTGATAATTTAACCTAAATCAGTGCTTGTCACTATTTTTGAGTAGCTAAGACTTGAATATGAAAGGAACAGGTATTATTATAAAATAAGGAAATTTCATTTGGGGCAATATGATTTTAATTACTGCACCAACCAAGACTATGAAAATGAGGGCAAGCGTTTTAGATTTGACTATATATTCCCTGTGACTTACCTTACATGAAAAATGTTCAACTAGAAGAAAGTTCATCTTATCTTTGTGAATTTGCATCAGATAAGAATGTAATAAAGGTGGAGGTCATTTTCATTATCTGACAGGGTTACAATAGGAAGTAGGGATCGGGGGACTTTTAACGAGTACGAGTACTTTAGAAAATGTGGTATCGAGGCCGATACCAGATACCGGTATCGGTATCAGTGCATCCCTAATAGGAAGTTCAATTTAGTGATGGTGAGAAGGGAAACTTGCTGACCTCTGTTGTGTTGACTTAACAGAAAGTGAAAGGGCCCTTTCATAACCTCTCATAAACCACCAGGCACCATATATCTGAGCAAATTAAAGGAATTCTTTTTCAAAGAAAGGTTTTCCAGAGACCAGTGCTTATCCTGATTACATATGTTATTGGACTCATTGGATTTTTAGAATTATTTAAATGGTTCTGTTCGATACACTATATTTCTCTCAATCAGGGCACTATCTTACATTGTCACTCCACAGATATGACAGGGTTGTGGATGTCTGTAGCCTCAGAGCTGACCTGAAGATTCTGCCATTCGGTGACCAAACTGAGGTAGGTGATCTCTCTTTAAACTGTCAAAGAAATTCATTGAAAGTCCTTATCTGCATAAACAAGTATCTGCTTGATTAGTAGGGAAAAAAAGCTTTGTGTCATGTGTCCTAGACGTTTAAACATACAATTCAACAAAGTTCAAAATAAATAATGAGCTATTTGAAGTTAAACAAACTGTAACAATCATATCTCCCCTCCAGCAACTACTATGTGAAGATAAAGGAGGGTATATTGAGACGGAATAATGCTATAGTGTTGTATGGAATAAATGCACTAGTATAATGTAATGAATTACAATATTTAAAATATAATACCATCTCTTCCATAAAGATTGAGTAAATTTCTGGATTGTATTAAGTCTTACTGACATTTTGTCAGATTGGGGAGCGGGGGCTTAATCTGTCAGGGGGACAGAAGCAGAGGATCAGCCTGGCCAGAGCAGTCTACTCCAACAAGGACATCTTCCTCCTTGACGATCCTCTATCTGCTGTTGACGCTCATGTGGGGAAACATATTTTTGAAGAATGCATAAAGAAGGAGCTCCAAGGAAAATCTGTCATACTGGTTACACACCAGCTCCAGGTAAGAACACTGTTTCATTCTTTAGTGCTTTCACTAAAGAATAACACTAAATGACAACTGATGTAAGCAGTTAAAAGAAGACTTTCCTGACCATATATATTGTAATTGGATGGATCATAGCTTGGTCTGAGCCTCTGAAATCTGGAAATCAGATTTCATGAATATGAATATGCATATTCATGAAATTAATGTGCATATTGTCTAAAATTGTATTTTTAAATATGACATTTTGGACAAATTCAGTCAAATCTGAAAAAAACCTAGAAGGCCTTCTTGGCTAATAGTTTACCTACTAATCATAAGTCACTGGCTGACTGGTGCTCTTACCCGTGAGTTCTAAGCCATTTCGTAAGTCACGCTACTGGAGATAAGAACATCTGTCAAATGACATAAATGTGTACGTACATGTGATTATAGTTTTGAACAGGTCTGACGACACTGTAGATTTTGTTGCCACAGTTGTTCTCACTTATGCTTGCTAGTATTTGGAGTTCTGTGATGACATCCTGGTTCTGGATGACGGGGAGATCAGGGAGGCCGGAAACCACCAAACCTTGATGAACGCCAGTGGACGCTATGCTCAGCTCATCAGCAATTACCAGATGGAACAGTCCAAAGTAAGTATACCCTAAATTAAAAGCATGCATCTTGTACCTCTTCTATTTTTATCTTTGATTCTTATTATTATGTTCCTGCAAACCACCTCACCTGTTCTTTATTGTTTTATTATGTCAAAAACAATAAACGTAATGATCAGTTGTAAAAACAAGGTACAAATCATTCCATTTGTGGTTATACGTTTGTATGGGCTGTAATGCTGTGTTCCTGATATTCTTGCTTGTCAGACTCAGAATGAGGAGGGAGAGGAAGAGGAGGATTTATCATCCCAGGATGCCGCTGAGTTGAAAGAGGTTGAGCTCAGATATCGTGCAGACAGTGGGATAGCAAACCCTGGTATAAAAACTAGGCAGAAAATCATTTTAATAATTTGAACTTTTTGGGTGTTTTTGAATTCATGACAGACTTTACATGTTTTAGTAGTGGTGCTTTTTTGAATACGGTGGGATTTTTGTTTGTTTTGTCACTGTCCAGAGACCAGTGTTCAGGGGGATGACGCTGACACTTTCTAAATGTTGCTGTGCCAATGCATGTGCAGTGTTGACACATCAGTACTTTTGTTTGTTAAAGAGCAACTGTATAACCAGGGACAGGTCAAAGTTTTGTAAATCAAAAACAAGGGCTTGTAAAGTAATAAAAGACAGGGCAGCAAACGTGTAGACCTGGCTGTTTTTGCTATATACCCATGTTATTTTTCTCTAACTAAACACCTGCAAAATTCTTGTGACTTCATACCAAAAACATGACCTGTGAAGGTCATGACATAACATTACTATCATATTTATATGCATCAAAGCATTCATTGACCTGCAATCAGGTCAGGATAGAAATGTTTGATCACAGTTGTATACAAGTGATCAGTTTCCAGATTTCCTTGCTGTAGGGGTCTGTGGTTCAACTCTTTGCAGTTATGTCTTATAATATGTGGACAATGATAATTTAAGTCAATTTTTGTGTTTGTAGAATGATAAAATTACTTCTATTCTTCCCTTCAGCATTTGACATGTCAGATGAAAAGGATCATGAAACAACAGCTGAGCAAAAGCGTAAGTTCCCTTAATTCTGAGTGTCATCCCACCATTTGTCAGCTGTTGTCACTATTACATATTTAGTTGTTATGTGATCCCCTTTTTTACACCAAGATTTTTTAAATATTTTTTATAATGGAAATGCACATGTGATGCATGTCAATGCAAATGGAAGTCACTAATCCTGTTACGACTCTATTAAAATATTTTCCCTGTTTTAAGCTGCTGTCAAGTCTGATGACCAGCTGGTCTGTCAAGAGTCCTCCACAGAGGGTGCTGTCTCCTTAAGAACCTACCACCGGTACTGTCAAGCAGCTGGAGGTCTGATACAACACACACATGCATTTACATGATTTTGAGCAATAATGTACCAATATGTACTTAATAGTTGTGCTGTAACTCTTTGCTACAGGCTACTTTCTTGTCTTTCTCACCGTCCTGAACATGGTCCTGATGATGGGATCCACAGCCTTCAGCAACTGGTGGCTCAGCTTCTGGCTTGGAATGGGTAATGGGGTGAGAATCCTCTCTCTCTCTAGCATTCACACAAAAAAATTCTCATCATGCATAAACAGCTTGGGTGACATGACTATGAGCTCTCAGTCACTGTGTAACCTTACACAAGTGAATCCAATAAAGATGATTACAAGCACCAGAAGGTACATTGTTTCAAGTAAGATTGTCCGTGTTAGCCAGTCTCTTTAAAATTAGAGGGTTACAATGGACTTAAGGTAAAACCTTGAATTTTTGGCTTTTTCAGGCTATCTCAGCTTTTAAGTAACCCACAAATATTTACTAGTGATGAGTTCAGGTGGTGGTCAAGTGAGGTCTGTGAGAGTTAGTGTTCTTTGGCCTTATTTGGTCTTGAGCAGTTCTTATTAAGCTCAGATTATTGGATGTGCTCATTATACTGCTGCAGTGTGAATCTTTTACAGGGTCGAGCATACCTGTAAAGAACAGAGTGCTAACTGAATGGTCTGGGCAGAACCAATGTGATGAAGAACATAATATTCCAGCTAGCACATTTCTTAGTGGTAAATGGTAAATGGCCTGTGTTTGTATAGCACTTTTTACTAGTCCCCCCTAGGGACCCCAAAGCGCTTTACACACCCAGTCATCCACCCATTCACACACTGGTGGAGGCAGCTACAGTTGTAGCCACAGCCACACGAGGCTGCCATATCGCGCCATATCGCGCCATCGGCCCTTCTGGCCAACACCAGTAGGCGGTAGGTGAAGTGTCTTGCCCAAGCACACAACTACAGAGACTGTCCGAGCCGGGGCTCGAACCGGCAACCTTCCGATTACAAGGCGAACTCCCAACTCTTGAGCCACGATCGCCCTACGATACGATAGTACACTCTCGTATTATTCCAGCCTATCAGTACACACATCTTAGTCTACCCATTACGCTTGTTTAGCTTGACCCTAACCCTAACCATGCTCCAACACCACCATTACTACTAAAAATTGTTCTTTAACAGTACTTTTGCATGCTGGAGTGTTATGTTCTTTATTTAGCAAATTCTGGATCTGGAAAGAAATTAGTTTCCGTGCACTGCTGTATTAGAAAACTGCTCTCTAGCTGTGGCTTGTCACTCAAGATGACAGTTCAAGAAAGACCCATTGAAACGATCGACCTGCCAAGTCCACTCTCTCTCCACTAACAAAAGATATTTTGTCTGTTTTATCGAAGTCATCGACTAACCCAGGTTCAGATCCAGGTGACATCTCAAAAAATCCAGACCTGCACTATTACCAAACGATTTATGGTGTGATGATGCTCATCATGGTGGTACTTGCCCTCTTCAAATGCTTCTTTTATACTTACGTCACCTTGAGGGCCTCCTGCAAACTCCACAACACAATGTTCAAGAAGGTACCAAGAAATAATCCCCACTGTTTACCATCCAACATGACCAACTGAAACACAGATTAACTGCTCAATGATTCAAAGAATGATTATTTTTGTTGTTTGTATTTTCCTCTCACAGATTATTGGCAGTCCAATGAGTTTCTTTGACACAACTCCAACAGGCCGAATTCTAAACCGTTTCTCTAAAGATCAAGAGGAGGTGGACACTGTGCTTCCTCTTCACATGGATTCTTTCCTGCTGTTTTGTCTTCAAGTCACATTCATAATTATCATCATCGCATCCGTTTTTCCATACATGCTTGTGGCTGTAGTTATCATGGGAGCTTTGTTTGCCCTCATTCTGTTGTGAGTTAAGTTTTAAAAATTGTCTTAGCGCGAGAGCAGATAGTTGTTTAAGGTACAGTTTGCTCAACATTTGTTTGAATTTATCTGCAGCCTATTCCAAAGGGGTATTCGTCATATGAAGAAGATGGAAAATATCAGCCGTTCTCCCTGTATCTCACTAATGACTTCTACACTGCAGGGCCTCAGCACCATCCATGCTTACAACACAAGAAACAGTCACATAGAAATGTAAGACACCAGAACTCTTTCACAGAAACAAATAAAAGTCTCTCTATTACTGGTCGTAATAGTAAATAATGTGTTCTTCTGTAAATGTCTGTAAATGATGTGTTCTTTGATCGGTGCTCTCAACTCTCATCATGTCGTTGTGTCATATTGTAGGTTCAAGTCCCTGAATGACATCAACTCCAATCACTTTTTATTGTTTCATTCTGGCACCCGATGGCTTTCTTTCTGGCTGGACTTCATGGCTGCTATGACGACCTTGTTGGTGTCTCTGTTTGTGGTGCTTAGCAGTAATGACTTAATCGCTCCATCCTTGAAAGGCCTGGCCCTAACCTATACCATACAGGTAAATAAGGAGAGCAGAGTTATACCTCTAAGTCATGTTGAAATGTGTGTTTGTGTTTTGTTAGAACTTTTGTGTGTTGTCCAGTTGACAGGCATGCTTCAATATGTAGTAAGAACGTCAACGGAAGTGGAAGCAAGGTTCAACTCAGTGGAGCGACTGCAGGAATACATCACGGTCAGATATCTCTCCGGAAACGATCCATCTTTCATGGTTTTGCCAAGACCAAACCCCAAATTCCCTCTGTTTGCCTCACTCAAAAAATAAACTTTTTTATTTGCAGGATTGTAAGTCTGAGGCCCCCAGGCATGTTAAAGAGGCTCAGATCCCACAGGACTGGCCTAGCAGTGGGGGGGTCTCCTTCGTAGACTATAAGATGAGGTACAGAGAGAATACACCAATCGTCCTAAACGGCCTTGATTTCCACATTCAACCTGGAGAGAAGCTGGGGATCGTGGGAAGGACTGGCTCTGGTAAGGCCCCGAATTTAGTAGCTATTACATTTTCTTAATTTTTATTCAGTGGGATTTTTGAAAAAAAAAAAAAAGATATGTTAATTAGAAATATTTAAATAATTAAGTTTGAAGCCGTCTCTGTCATATTTCCTGTTTTATAACTTGCTAATAGGTGACAAATCTGGACTGTAGGAAGACCAGTTTAGACCCATGGTTCTTTGAGTAGGTCGCCATGCTGTTGTAGTTTAGCACTGTAGGAGTTTGATCTTTTATCAGTGGACGCACTAACAAAGTGCTCACTGACCTCGGTTGAAACTGGACTCAGAAAAAAAATGTTTCTGATTCCATTTAGTGATGGTCTCCTTATTCCCAATCACTGATTAAGATGAAAGATCATTTGTTGTCTCCATTAAAATGTATAACTTTAAACATTCATGTGTTAAATTAAATCTGTCTTTATTTGCATTTTACACAGTTTCCTTTTTTTGGGAAACAGGGTTGTAATTATTATAGCAGTGAATTCCTAATTATTCCATAGTCCATATTACAGTTTTAATCAGCTCTTCTCGACAGCTATAGTGTAATATTCAGCTACTCTGCTCTGTGCTTTGTGTCTGTAGGGAAATCCTCTTTAGGAGTAGCTCTATTCAGACTAGTAGAGCCTGTAGCAGGAACCATAAAGATAGACGGAGTTGATATTATGTCCATTGGCCTGCAGGATTTGCGCAGCAAGTTGTCCATCATCCCTCAGGACCCTGTGCTGTTCATCGGTACAGTAAGGTAGTGAACCAGAAGTACAGAATCACACACT